CCTTGACCGGTGAAAGATAAGTAATTGCATACAGCCTACCACGCAGATCAAAAACATCCCACTTAGGGAAAAACCTCTCTCCCATTTACCTACCCGCTCCCTGCTCTGCACTGGGTCCCGAACCAGCTTCAGCAATTGCTGAGTCCCCTGGGCCGGAAGTAGGATCCGTCACATGCCTGGAGCCATTCTCCCTGCCTTGGAGAATGAACAAATTAACAGACAGTAAAAAATAAACTGCTGGCTCCCCTAAGCCAGGAACCCAGGCTAGGCACAGCTCCTTTGCCTAGGCACAGGCATAAGGGATCCATGGACTTTGAGTGCCTTTCCCCCTGCATAGGCTACTATGGGCCCATCTTAACAGCATAGGCCCTAATTACCACAGTACAACAGGGTATATACAGGAACTCTAACTTCAACTGTTTCAGCTGTGAAGGGGCAGGTTCTTGACATTTGACACTGCGCTGCCCATTAAGCAGGGTCTTGACCTACCCACATCGGGCCTGAGGACTGCTGGCTCCACCCGTGCCACCTAGCCACCTGCGATAGGGGTGTGTGAATAAGAGGTGACCCCCAGTCCTTCCAGCCAACAGTATTAGGTGCTCATAGTCTGGCTGCAAAACGCACCCACCGACGCACTCTAAGGAACAGGGACATGCCTTCCTCCTGGACACTTGGGGGCGGCTGTCAGCCCCCTGCCTTGCTCAGAGTGTGTCCCTCTGCTGCACCCAGATGCCTGTGCCTACCCAATCAACCATGCCTGTCTAGGACTGTGAGAGCCTAAACCACACACGTGGTGGCTATCTACCTGGGCACCTGAGCTGAATCCATACAGGAGGAGTGGGTGGGCTCCTGAGCTCCCATACATAGTAACAGATCCAACCACCTGGTGACAGGACATTAGAGCTTCAAAGGTGCCAATAATCAAACTAGCTTATAAGAGCAGCCTATTTGGGCATATCAAAACAAAACAAGAAGCTAGGACACAGAAAGCAAACATAAAATAACTTACTAATGGTGCGGAGACAACAGTCAATATCAAATCACACAAAGAGGAAATCCATGATGGCTTCAGCAAGCTCCCAAAATAAAGAATCTAGAAATTTTCCAGAGGAGGCAGAATACAAAAGATTAATACACATAACTTCAAGAAATAGGAAGAAGATTAAGCAAAATGCAGAACATGCAATAAATGTAATTAAAAAGATTAGAGAAGAGCATAATGACAAATTTAACAGGCCGCAAGAATCCATAGAGAGACAGCAATCAGAAATCCAGAAGATTGATAATAAAATTTCAGAATCAGACAACTCAATAGAAAGTTATAGGAGAAGAATTGAGGCAATGGAAGTCAGAATTAGTGAGACAAGATAAAGCACTTGACACCAAGTTATTTGAGGAAAAATCAGATAAAAGGATTTAAAAAAATGATGAAACCGTAAGAATTATGTGGGACTCTATCAAGAGGAATAACCTATGAGAGACTGGAGTACCAGAACAGGGCGGATAACAGAAAATACAGAGAAAATTGTTGAAGATTTGTTGGCAGAAAACTTCCCTGCTATTGTGAAAGATGACAAGATACCTATCCAAGATGCTCACTGAACCCCACATAAGGTAGATCCCAAAAGAAAGTCACCAAGACATAATCAAACTTGCCAAAACCAAAGATAAAGAATTTTAAGAACAGCTAGGGATAAACAAAAAGTCATCTACACAGGAGAGTCAATAAGAATAACTCGGACTACTCAGCATGTACAGAAAAAAACTGCCAGCCAAGAATTATATATCCAGCAAAACTGTCTCTCAAATATGATGGCAAAATTAGGGCATTTCCAGATAAACAGAAGTTGAGGGAATTTGCAAAACCAAAATTACAAGAAACACTAAAGGGA